CCATGTTCCGGTTTTCTTGAAACCTGGGCATTCCGATTGTGTCTTGCTTCTGTTTTGCCTTCCAGGTTTGTTATGGTGGAATCTTTATTGGTCGACGTTTCGAACAAATCGTCGTTTTCAAGACCTAAAATTGGTTCGAAGCTCTAGTTTGTAGCCTATCCACTTACACCCCACTAGTGCCAATGTTACAATTACTTCTCAGTAATCTCAAATCAAGATAAGATTCCAGCTAAAACCAACCTCCTACGTTTCCACCAGTACTGGATCCCCACTTGGCTCCGCGAACAGCTGACGAAAAATGAGGCACCGCTCACCCTCGCGTAATACGTGCGGTGGGTGGTGATATCATAATTCGCATAATGGAATGCCATGCACTCATTTCGGTTGTTCAGCTGTGGATTTCGCACACGGATGTAGAACGCTTCTAACATTTTTCTAGCACCGATATCATCCTCCTGGGTCAGGATTTTACATTCTATATCAAAGTCATTGCCCTGGTGTTTTTCATACCGATGCTTGCCAAGTGGAGTAAGAAGGCTTCCACATCTTCTTGGTTAACGTACCTAAAGGCAATATTAAACATCAGCTAATCCGCAATAGGCTATACGATCGTACATGCACTACGACGAACTGCATCGTTTGCCCATACGGAAGGCAGGGAGATTGCGCATTGAGAGGAGCTGTATACCAACTTCAATGTTCAACCTGTGGCGAAGTGTATATTGGTGAAACAGGCAGGATGTTAGGTGTACGCGTTAAAGAACACTTGGCTGGAAAAGACGTGGAAGCCTTCTTACTCCACTTGGCAAGCACCGGTATGAAAAACATCAGGGCAATGACTTTGATATAGAATGTAAAATCCTGACCCAGGAAGATGATATCGGTGCTAGAAAAATGTTAGAAGCGTTCTACATCCGTGTGCGAAATCCAAAGCTGAACAACCGAAATGAGTGCATGGCCGTTACAAGTGAATTCCTGCCTTTCATTCCATTATGCGAATTATGATATCACCACCCACCGCACGAGGGTGAGCGGTGCCTCATTTTTCGTCAGCTGTTCGCGGAGCCAAGTGGGGATCCAGTACTGGTGGAAACGTAGGAGGTTGGTTTTAGCTGGAATCTTAGCTTGATTTGAGATTACTGAGATAATGTAATTGTAACATTTGGCAACTATTGGGGTGTAAGCGGATAGGACTACAAACTAGAGCTTCCGAACCAATTTTAGGTCTTGAAAACGACGATTTGTTCGAAACGTCGACCAATAAAGATTCCACCATAACAAACCTGGAAGGCAAAACAGAAGCAAGACACAATCGGAATGCCCAGGTTTCAAGAATACCGGACATGGACCATTCTTTGCGAGATTTTCACCATATTAAGGTGACCGACCTTCGGTGCTTTCACCTTCTTCAGAGCCTGGAAAAGACGAAAGCCATCTAGGAATGGAACACAATAGAGTACAGGTTTTGTCTCCTTCACGACCGCTAGTTGAGATCAACCATCGCTTGTGTCTCAAAGAAATTTCTGGTGTGGGATAGCCGTTTACCTGCGCTATGTGTTTGTATGCCTGTCTTGCACACTCAGCGGCACATTTTTGAGATGAGCCGGTCGTTGTACGGAGTCACTCTATGACTATGAATCAGTACACATCTGGGACGGTAGTAAAGTGCCCTAGACTGGCAATCAAATGTGGTGATTTACACCCATTGGCGAGGAATAGAGAACGTGGAAACATGGACATGACCCTAGTTGAAACCGCCAGCCTCGCCACCCGACCTGCAAAACTTGCAACCCTCTCGGACTTGAGCCCTGGATGGTAGGACTCATAGCCGGGTTTTTTGCCACTGCACCAGGGATCACTCGACCACACCACTGGAAGAGATGTTGATGAAAGGTATGCAATGGATGTTGTTTGCAAATAGACTCCAAGCGGTGCTGATCCAGCAACCTTGCCAGCGGCAGCGTGGAACGTCCCATTGAGCCAATGGCAATTTGCCATAGGCGAAGTGGTGAGCATCCACCACGTTGCTTGCAAAAGTCGCGTCACACACGGGTTTGAACCTTCGGTGCATCGTCCCATGAGCGGCATCGCTACCACTGCACTATGGAGCCCTTCTTATTGACGGTGAAAGAATTCTAGAGGAAAGGCAATAACCCACAAAAGTTGCAAAGATTTTGACATCTAGTAGTATCGATCCCGTGGCCGGCTCAACACAAACGTGGACCGCAGGCGCTACACCATTGACGGATCAATGCAAGTTGCTTCCCTTTCCCTTTTCAACTTACTGCGTTGACCCACACAGCCTGGCTGTTTGGAGATGGCCATCTCTAAAAAGTCCTCCGGAGGACTTTTTAGAGATGAAGTGGCAGCATGTTTGCGCCCTCCCGCGCGCGCACTATTTCCTTTTCCTCTGCCGCCATCGCTGTTAGTTTATAAATGACCACCCTGCTAATCCTCTTACTAGCACGTGATGTCATCACCCTAACTTCCAAGTAAGTTCGAACTCACTTCGACCATTCCGACGGGGAATCTTCGGAGGGGTTCCAGAGGTGCTCTACGCATCTTTTAGGGAGACATGGATGGCCATGACCAAGTTACCACGAGCTCATGGTCACATGGTAACTAGCAGTTGAGGCCACTTTACTACCGTCCCTGATTGTTTCACAGATTCGCGAAACTTCTAGGAGGCAGAGAGTTGAGGGTGTGTCATTAACAAACACCGACAGGCTGAATCAACTTTTGCCACGCGTAACCTGGCGGACAAAATTGCACGCCATAATCCCGGTGAGTCGAACTTGGCGACCATCGTGTGATCTACTGATACATACGATTTGTCGACGAATCGCGGAATTTTTGCAAAGTCTGACACTTGCCTGAAAAGTACGTAGTTGCTGCGGGCTTCTACCGCAAAGCTTCAGGCGGCTAATTATCATGACGTAAACAAATGACCATAATAGCTTGAATCCAACACAGCAATACTCCTGACCACAGTGCTCTCATCGACTCCCTGAAATACAGAAATGTCATTCCTTTGGATGTGTGCTCTACAATGTTTCTCACAAATTTTTTCGTTTCTATGACTCGACGTGAACAAAGAAAGGTCGCTTGGCCAGTTTCAGGCTTGACAAGGGCGCTAAGCCCCGAATGCTCGCCAAAAAAGCTAAACTTTAGCAAAACTTTTGCAAGCCACACATTTTTGCAATCTCTTTTGTGAAGGCTTTAGAGCCCTTCCTAACAAATAATTGAAGTCTCACATTATTCATTACACATTCAGTAAGGACTAGCATTAAAATCGATGCCACGGCTTATTATCCGTGAGTCAAGGTCACTACCGCTGCGCTTCCCTATTTCATAACTTCCTTCTGGGAATCCTTCCTTAGATAAAGAAAGCAGATTTGATCTCAGCGTCTCGAGGCATGCATAAAAGCATACGCCTCATTTGGATGGCTCGACTGACCAATTGATCTCTTCTTGTAAGTCTGGAAGGGCTATTACGAAAAAGATTTCAAAATTCATTCCAACTTATTCTGCTAATTGGAAATCAATGAACCGAGCTTTTTCAGGTAACGATTCATCACCAGCAGCAACCGAGTTCTGATTGCAAACTGCTTTGGCGCCCATCGGATTCGATTCCCAAATTAGCACAGATTGCTGAGTTCTTGTGTAATGTTGGCCAATAAAGATCATTCACGAAATAGTACCATTGCTTTCGATGTGCAGCTTACGTCCAAAATACAAGGTGGAGCTTCGCTCCGGTAACAGGGGGGGGGGCAAAAAAAAGAGTCACTTTCATTCACATTCAAACAGAATTAATTACACTTTGCCAGAACCAAACCGAATGAGCTCAATTGCATATTGAAGAGCACATTCTATTCTATCAAAAAATTACATAGGGGCTTTCTACACCGACGACATCAGAAGATTTTCCCACGGAAACATGGTTCACGGTACGAGCTCAACGAGGTCGTCGAGAAACCATAGACGATTACGACGTCTCTGAAACGCTGGTCAAAAGCCATTTGCATAGTCAGAGCTAGTGTCCCTAAGAAGCCATTCACCAGTTATCCGATTGAAGAAATTATGTAGCAGCTTCAGAATGGAGCGATTATGGTAGGCCTCCTTGAGCTCGACGGTGATGACAGATGACGTCATATTCTGGAGACGGTGAAGGCAGCGAAGGTGGGCCTGATTCTGCTTATGGGGGGACATCTAAGGAATATTTCGCCGTATAACTCCCAATAACAGCGGCATCCTTTGCGACGAAAAGTTTGATGATATGCGCCATGGGCAAAGTGACTCTTTTTTTGCCCCCCCCCCTGTATACATCTGCTACTTTTGCATACTTGTGGCCGTACAAAGATTGACCAGCCAAAACCTCTAATTTCAATGCAGCGGATTATTTAATGTGGTCTAACGTTAAG